CTGATCGCTTCTATAACGCGACAGCGCACGCTTTGGAATCGCCATTCCACACACGCTCTGATCGTGCTGTTGTGTGTAAATAAGTAAACAACAGAGAGATGGAAAATTCCGCCCTACGGTTATAATGGCTGTTAAAGAGGTATTGCATGCGATTACTCATGTAATAGAAATGTATGTTTGTAGGGCACTCATGTTCGAAATGAAATTCGAAATGAAAGTTTAGAAAAAAGGCTATTGGGAGATGTGAAAAAGCGACCTGTAGAGATTTTAAGTTCGAGTGGTTTAATGACTGTATTGAGTTTTTATTCGAAGAATCGTTGGGATCGAATGCATCAATAATATTGAAAGTTTACAGAAATTTACATTTTAGGTTTATAATTTTGCAGGTGTTTATACACAATTATACGAAAACTTCTACAACAAATCGCCTTTTCAATTCTACGAATATTTTGTAAACGATGGTCTTTTATCCCAGATGGTAAATATCTAATTTATTTTGTTCTGTTTTTGATTTTTTTTTAAATTTTTAGGTCGAGGAAACAAATAACGATTTGTTACTTTGCATTGTAACGTTTAAAACGTTACATTTTTGTTCTTATTAATTTCAAAGTACTTTCCACTATTTTCTGCTCATACTTTTTGATTTTCATTGATAATAAGTTCTTTTTCCTTTGTTTGTATTCCTATATTTTATTTCAATATTTTCCTATTACAAATAAATCCGCTGATTAATTTCTTAAGTCCCCTCGTAGTCCTACCTTCGCTTACTTTATCGTACAAGAAACAGAAACCCCACTCCTAAATAATTTACTTCGATCAATCCGATCCTACTTAATTTCTTTTTAAAATAAACCAGCAAACGAGAAGGTATTATTAAAAAATAAGTCCTCGTGGTCAGAAACTTTCAACGGTCTGGGTAAGTTAATACTTTGCTCTTTTTACAACAACATATTTTTCATACTTTAATCAAGAACACTTTTAGTTTTTCGCATAATTTTGTGTACGCTAGTACTTAAAAACTGCTTACAATTTTGATTTTCTTTTTACCTTTGCTGTAATAATAATAATTCAATATAAATCGTATTTATCGCACAACTTTGTCTTTTTCATTTTTCGTTTAATAATTTATCTATTAATTACAATTATTAATTTGTGAGTTTTGGCAACATCAGAGAGTTCTGGATCGGTATACAGGTCTCGGAGAGAAGAGCTTTCCGCTTGCCAGAATTCTTCTGTTGTTGGACAAAACTCGTGCCATGACGAATTTTATAGCGGTTTTTGTTTTTCTAGCCACCTTGGTTTTTATTCAAGAGAATCCACCTTGGTTTTTATTCAAGAGAATCCACCTTGATTTTTATTCCATTTCAAGAAAATCCACCTTAATTATGATATAAGAAAATTTACGTTGACATGGATTTTTTGGGTCGAAGAATACGAAAATGGAATTGTTTTTTTGGAATAAGAAGTCCATCTCGATTTTGAAAATCCGCATGGCTTTGGATTGGAGAGGGATCCACATGGTTTCGGCGTAGCGGCATGGTTTTTGCAGACATTGTATGGTCCGAGTTAAGAAGAAAACAGTAGGAGGATTTCTCATAGAGTAGAGCTAAGTTTCTTTATTTCTTAAGATTTTGTATATAGATGCTTAATTCCCTGTTGTTAGAAACTCAATTTAATTGTTATTACATTTTGATTTATTAAAATATAAATAAATAAAGATATGTGTTAAAGAAATTATTTTATTAATAATTCCCGATTTCTCAAATTAAGTTAGTTTATGCCGAACATCACCCCTGAGGGGTTTTAGTGTGCAATGGGTGAGCTAGCCGTTACAGCATTGTCAGGAAAGAAATCAGAAAAAAAGCGCACGTATTACTGCATGACACAACACTGATGTCGACAAAATAAAAAGATTCCTGGGCAAAGGTATATGGATGGCATTATGTCATTTTCCATCTTTTCATTCGTACTGGTCAAAGAAAAATCTTTATGTGAATAATATCAAAAAAGTAATGTGAAGAAATCTTTCAGTTATTGTGCAAAATGCTGCATTTGAATTTCAACGATAATTTAGTAACAGAAGATCGTTTCCTTGGTTAGTATACTGATCGCTAAATTTAGGGCTGCCATCATTCCGTGGTAGGATAGTTTGTTGTCCTGAGACCAAGAAATCGGTCTAAAAGGCCACCAAGAAATGGTCAACGGCATCAGGATGTAAAAGGCCAGGAGAAACCACTACATTAAAGATAACACACATACGAACATACGAAATACCACAGTTAATCCTACAAGGGAAGATCAAAGGTAGGAGAGGAGCCGGGTGCAAACAATTATCCTGGTTAAGGAATATTAAAGAATAGACAGGAATACACAATACATGCGAGCTGTGTCACGACGCCAAGAACAGAATTCTAGTAATGAGATAGTCGCCTACGCACTTTGGTGTATGGCATGTTAAGAAGAAGAAGATAAATGTCATTAAAAAGATTTACCAAGGCGTCTATATTATCTTCACTCAATATTGTTAGAATCTCTATGAATATGTCGTCTGGGCCTGGTGCTTTTCCTAATTTGCTCTGTTTGATTCCCTTACTACTTCTGACTTCAATATTTTGGGGAAGGGTTCATTTTTATATTCACTTTCAGAGTTTTTTCTAGTGGTGTCTGAGTAAAGTTGCTATGTGTAGTTTCTCCAATGTTGAAGTAGATTATTGGGATAAGTAATTAATTTATTGTCCTAATACTGTTAAAACTGCAAGGTTTTATATGACCTGTCATTTCTTTAACGAGTTTATGTATGTTATAGCGGTCACGTTTTTCTTCCAATTCCTCAATTTCTGCACACCTACCTAACAGAAACTGTTTGGCTTTGCGACACTCTTTTCGCATTTGTCGGTTAATCTGTCGCTGATGCTTGGTTTGGTCTTTGTTTTTAAATGATCTGCGGTCGTCCATCATTGATAATATCTCGTCGGTCATCTAATTCTTCTTTTTGTACTTTTGGGAAGCGATCAGAGAATTGGTGGTGGTACGATAGCTTTTTTAATACAATTCCATTTTTTTTTCAATACGCTACGTGCAAACCGAAAATATAATCCCAAAAACGTCATTACGTAAAGGAATAAAATGGCACAAAAAATTTTCGATGAAACTCTTGACTGGTATAGCTCTTATAAATGCCTACGTCGCGCATCAAAGCAATAAACTGTCAATTAAACAGATTTTTGAACTTGTTACGATTTCCAATTTTGAAACAATTTTAAGTTTGGTTATATCCTTTTAAATACCCTGTTTAACACAAAATAACTTTGTATTAGCATCTCATAACAAAAGAACTACCACCTGAATGTTCCTATTGTGAATGTCCAATAACTGTTCAACATGTATTGATTGAATGTCCTCTTTATTCCTACGAAAGAGCCATCAACAACGTACCAGAAGAAGCAAAGAAACTTAAAGATATTTTAAACAGTAATATATCAAATACAATAAAATTCCTTAAGGACATACGTTTACTACACAAAATTTAAGTTATATTATATGTATCTTTTTGTAATTTGTAATTTATTATGTGTAATTTAATACGCAATTTGTAATTAGTAAATTTGTATTTGTAATAATAACTGTAAAATCTGTAAAACCAGCTAATAACCTTTAATGATTGATGCGGAAATGCTAAATAAATAAAAAAAAACTTTGTATTAATCCTTGATAATAAAAACATTTTTTTATTTTTTCTGGTATAATATAGTGTCATTCTTTTTTTTTCTGAGCCAAAGAGAAAAATAAAAATAAATAAACAGACCATTTAAATAAATTTTCACGACATCCTGGTAAACAAAATTTATGTATTAGATTAAGATAAGATTAGATTAACAGAAAGTTTTGCCTGTCAACAACTGATTTTTAAACACTGGCAGGGAAAATCTTTTTATATAGAATTAGAAAGCCCATACTCATTATATTCTTTTCATTGTTTGTACCTAGGATTAAGATATTGTATTTAACCTTTTGTTATAAAAATGAATTATGTATTAGTAACCAAAGGGACTGCAAGTTTTAAAGCAAACATTTTTGTTTCTTAGGAAACAGTAATAGGGATTTTTCTTAATGATTGTAAACAAAATAAAGCTTTTTGATGGAACAATGTTTCTTGTGAATCGGAGATTTGACAGTCGATGTATGAGAGAGATAGTAGGCAGTTGTCATTTTATCATCGAAAGGAAAGGTCGCGTCTCGATAGAGGGCGTGTTCGTCAATTTGGATACCGGCATTGTGGAAGGAAGTTAGCAGAATTTTGGAAGGAGATTACAAGTCGATGAAAAGATATCCTTGGACCTAAAGTAGGCAGTTTCTGGAATACGTAGGAAATAGTTTGACAGCACCAAGTTGACAGAAAGAGGTCCTTGTGTCATTGAGAAATAGCTGAGTGTTGGAGAATTAAATTTCAAGTGTTAATTGTTGGAGAATTGAGTCAGGTGTTTCGTACAGTTGCTGCAGGAAGATTGCAGATACGAAAAGAAGAAAGCTGAGGCGAATAGTGGCAGATCATATTTTTGTGAAGCGTGGACGATTCTAGGTATGGTCCAAATACAATCTACGAAGGCAAGGTTAGTGATTTTTTGTTCAGAATTGAAAATATATATCATTGTCGTTACCATTTTAACTCAAGAGTAGACTTCATTTGTAAAATGTTTTAAGCGTTAGCTTTACTATTAGTGTTTGTAGATATAGCAATATTTAACAATATAATTAATTTAAATTAATCTAGAATGATTTTTCTTCTACGTAGTAAACATATTATCAAAATTGAGGCACAAAAAAAAGAGCTGTTGAAGGTTTATTAGCATTTTAAAACAGAGGTTTTTATGCACCTAAGTTTAGATAATAGTCTATATATACAATTTACATATAGTGTGATTGGATTAGTAGTGCATGAAATCGAATCAACTATAAGAGAAAGAAAAATTTAAATATATGAGAGCGTTGAACCATTTTACCTGTATTCTGGTGCTGGACATCCTTGAGCTATACATATTAATGCGGCTCCTTCGTCTTGCGCTACAGTGACTGCTCCTGAATTTTCCACAATCACCGGAGATACAATGCCTCGATGTTCTGTAACAAGGACAAAGTCGTAAATGACTAAAGAGGTTTCCAGGAGTATTCTGAGCACAAAGAAATACCGCATATTTTTCATTTTTTATAAGTTAATCTGAGCTAAATAACTTATAAGACAAAAATTATGTTCTTTGTCTTGTATTTAATGTCCATGAAAATTATGCGGCACCTTCATTTTACTAATTTTGGATCAATAAAAATACCCTAACCAAAAATATTATTTTTTCAAGCTACTTTAAGTTTCACACAGATATTCTAGACGATTTGCATCATTTGTTTAATTTTTTCTGTCCGTTATAGAATTCCCTTTAACCCCTATGTTTTGCTTACTTGTCAAAAACTACATCAACATTAATTTTTAACTGTGACGTTAATAGTTTAGATTATTTCCTTATTTTTTATTTTTATATTACTTACTTTTAATTTTACCTCAAAAGTGATCGGCTACTATTTGTAGAGGACTCAAATCTTTTTTTTTTATTTCGAAAATATGTGCCTCTATAGCTAATACTCATTGACACAGGTACAATTTACATTCATGTTTACATGGTTAATACTTTACAAATTAGTAAGGGTACAAATTAGTTACAATACTTTTTTAAAACATCTTGATATACATATAGAAACTTAAATTGATCATCATTATCAGTTGGCGCTACAGCCCTTCGTGAGCCTTGGCCTGCTTCAAAACATTCTTTCATCCTTCCCTATCGAGTGTCTGCCTTCTCCAGCCCCTCACTCCAATCTCCCTCAGATCTTCCTGCACATCGTCCAGATATCTGAGTTTAGGTCGCCCCCTTCTTCTTCTTCCGACCGGCCTGTTTAGCACAGTTATTTTAGTGGGATCACTCTCATCCATCCGCATAACGTGGCCCACCCACCTTAGGCGGTTTATTTTGATGGTCTTCATAATATCTTCATAATATTTTAGAGTGGAGGCCTAGACACGATGCTTATCGTAGTCGAGGACGTCCTTGAACAAGGTGGTCGGACGATTTAAAGCGCATCCAGTCTAACTGGATTCAAGTTGCTCAAGATCGGATGCAATGGAATTATTTACGGGAGGCCTATGTTCAGCAGTGGACGCAAAATGGCTAATGATGATGATGATGATGATAATATCTGCATCACCAAAAAGTCTATAGAGTTCAAAGGTATATCGCCTTCTCCACAGATCCTGTTCGTTTACTTCGCCATATATGGTCCTCAACACTTTTCTTTCAAAGACTCGTAGTAACTCTTCATCTCGGGTCGTCATTGCCCACTTAAATTTATATGACAACAATATTTTGATGTACGCTGTAGAATAAGGCCAAAAACACAAGTAGAACAACAGGAATAACTGCTAAAATTTTATATGATAAGCAAATAAAATATTAAAAGATAGTCCAAAACATTTTCAAGCGAACACGTTCGAACACTTGAGCAAAAATTATAAAAGAAAATGGAATAACTATACTGATAGTTCCAAGTTCTGTCTTATATCAAAGATTTATTTTTGTTTTATTTATCGTGGGGCAATATACACACAATCTTTAAATATAAAATATGGAAACATTTGCGTTGAGTACAATCAGAAATGAAATAAAAAGTTACAAACAAACATCCAAGTTATTATATTTTATCGATTTTGGTCTGGCTACCATCAAATCATCTAGCCTTCAAAATTATATTTAATCTCCCATCAAACTGTATTAAAGACTGCGCTACATTTCATCTCGAAATCAAGGGCATTGTTTTTCTAATTATTTGAATGTCAGTAATATTTTTGAAAATACACAAAACGCGATATTTTTTAATAATATTTATTTTTCTTACACCTAACTTTGTCGCATTCTTTTATTTGTTAACCCTTTTTTTGCGCTGTACATTTGTAAAATTAATTACTAGCATTTTTTCCAGAGATAAATACCTTTGATATCAAGAATTGCAGCCGCATCCACCGAAATTCCAATGGCACGCTTTCCACCAAGAACAGCTTATATAGGTAGGGAGCTCACGAAGAAAAATATTTTTAAAAAGTTTTTAGGTAGTGTTAAACATTATGAATATTGTCTCATTGATGTATGCGATACAATTATGTATGTAGGTGTATACTTTTTTAAACTACAAGTTTAATCATTTAAATTAGTTTTTTCGCTCTCCTGTGAAATTTTATAAAATGAAGTTACGTACTATGCGAATTACACTAATGATATACGTATTTCTGAGTATTGGTCGTCTTGATTACGGTGCAGCCAAGTTAGAAAAGGAGCATGTTTACTTGGGAAAGGATCACCAAAATGGGCGACCAATTTGTGGCATTAGAGTTAGAAAACCCTGATGGTTTCCAGGGCAACAACTAACACTAACCACGGAGGAAGCTACAGCTACCTGGAGGAAGGAATGCAAACGTTAAAACGTTTAAAACAAATGAAAAAGGATAATGCGAGTAAATAATAAAACTAGAATGTAAAATCTCGCAAAACAGAAAACCAAAATAAGTATATTGATGGAAGGCAATCGTTTATACGTATTTCTGACTACTGGTCGTCTTCAGTACGTTGCAGCCAAGTTAAAAAAGGAACATGTTAACAGGTAAAGGCTTAACTGTAATTCATTAATGTCAGTGTCCCGTTTAAGGTTTTGAATCTTGACAAAGGCAAGGGTTTTTAAGCCGAAACTTTAATTTCAATGGAACAATAAAATCTAGTTTTAAATTTAATATTATTTATTGAACCTTAACCCAAAAAGTACTAATTTTATATTAAAAAAAAGAGGTTACATTTTACATATACCCATTTACAAAGATCTAACCTCTTTTTTGTGATACGTGGTATACAACCAGCTGCAGGAATTATTTTTCTTGTGGATTTAATTTTATATTGTTAAATATATATTGTGCAATAATATTGTTAGTACTATAATTGTCCCCCAACTTAAAAGGACTGAATCATATTTTAGAAGGCAAAATATTGTATTTTTGTTTTTCATATTTTGTCAATTCTTCTGTATGCGGCTTGTGTTAGAAAACTTTAAAGTGCTCCCTAGCTATAACAAATATTCGGTAACTAAAATTCCAAACACGCTTGTATTCAGCTAGGGTTGGTTATTCATTATTATAAAAGAGCCGACGTGTTTTTCACGTAACTGGTTAGAATAAATCCACCGGAAAGCTACTGGCATACATTTAATGAGGTAGGTGTTGCTTCAAGGTAATTTACACCTAATTATGTCAAGAATATAAATTATGTCATGCGAGAAGGTTAACTTTAATGGATCCCGCAGATGTGGAGAATAAGTAAGGTTTCAAGTGTTTAGTGTTGAAATTAAACCTTGGTTATTTATTGTTAATGTTATTTGCAATTTTACACGTCTAATTAAAAACATAACGGTTAAGGTAACAGTAATTTTTGCATTATTGTTCCGGTAGATTATTGCTCTACCGGTAGTATTGCTCCAGCTTTGCAACATAGACTGGGCACTTTCAAGAGTCCCGATAAAACGTTAAGCAAAAATAAAAACTGAGAACACGTAGCGTCTTAAGGCTCTTATCCTCAGATCCAGAGGAAGGTCTCGATTGACAAATATTGTTTTCATTTTTATAAATAGTTGTCTTGCAGTTTCAATGCGTGTCCTTATTTCTCTACCTTGGTCATTGTTTTTATTTACCCAAGTTCCCAGACATTTGTAGTTATTCACTCTTTCTACTTGTTTTCGCTAGATATATTTCCCCTAAATAATCATGACCTTGGTTTTCTTAACTTAATTCTTCTTCAAGTGCCGTCTTCGTTCCGAAGTTTGGCTATCATCAAAGCTATGCGTATTTTTGATGCTGGCAGATCTAAACAGTTGGTAATTGGTGCAATTGTACCATTCTCTCAAGTTTTTCAACCATGAATGCCTTCTTCTTCCTATAGATCTCTTTCCCATTATCTTTCCCTGTATAATCAATTGCAGCAACTGGTATTTATATCCCCTCATAACATGTCCCAAATATTGTAGTTTGCGCTTTTTAACAGTATCAGCTCTTTCTCTTTCCGCACTCTCCGCAAAACCTCCACATTTGTTACTTTCTCTGTCCAGGGTATTTTTAATATTCTACGATACATCCACAACTCAAATGCTTCTATCTTTTTGGTATCGATCTTTTTCAATGTCCATGTTTCCATCCCGTAGAGGAGAACTGACATAACGTAACATCTCAAAAGGCGAATTTTAAGTTTTAGACTTAGATCTCTTCCGCAGAACACCTTTTTCAATTTAGTAAATGTGGCTCTAGCTTTCTCTATTCTGGTTCTGATTTCTTCAGATCAGTCATTATTTTCGTTGATAACAGTTCCCAGGTAATAATATCTTCTTACACGTTCGATTCTTTGATCATGCACGGTTATGTCAGGGAAGTTTTGTGGTGATTTAGATATTAGCATTATTTTTGTTTTGCTTATGTTAAGTGATAATCTGTGTTCTTCACTGCATTCTACTATTTTGTTAATTAGTATTTAAAGATCTTCCCAAGTTTCTGCGATTAGTACCGTGTCATCGGCATATCTCAAGTTGTTTATTCGGATACCATTTATCTTAATACCTATATTTTGATCCGGAAGTGCTGTGTTTATAATGTCTTCGGAGTATAGATTGAATAAGGTCGGTGAGAGTATACAACCCTGTCTTACGCCTTTCTTGATCTCCATTTCCTCCGTTGTCTCTTGCTCTATTCGGATATTTGCTTTCTGGTTATAGTAAATCTTAGAGATAATTCTAATGTCCCTTTTATCCAAGTTTTTTTCTACTAGCAGTTTCATTAAGTGGTCGTGACGAACTTTATCAAACGCTTTGTTGTAATCAATAAAGCACATATATATATATATATATATATATATATATATATATATATATATATATATATATATATATATATCTTGGTTTATATCTAGATATCTTTGGCATATGACGTTAAGTACAAATAGTGCTTCTCTTGTTCCAAGCCCGTTCCGAAATCCGAATTGAGTATTACTAATATCTGCATCTAGTTTTCTGTTAATTCTTGAGTGGATTACTTTGATGAATACTTTTAATGTATGCCCCATTAAGCTTATA